ACGTGTCATTTTTACATAAAAAGATATTTGTACCAAAAAATCCTTTAGATTATTTTAGCGCACTTATAAAATATTCCGAAAACCATTTTTTTCCTTTAAGTTAATAAACAACCGTAAAATAAATTTGATACGAAGCCAAGTCATGCACACTTATGCCCAGGCGCATATAATATCTTTTTATTTAAAAATAACGCAAGATTTCTCAGCGTGTAATTTTTTACTTTTGACATCATCAAATAAGGCAACTGCAGCGAATAATCAGAAGCCTTTAAAAAATAATGAACATAAATTTAATTATTTTTGTTACTAATAGAATATTAAATATAAATATTAAATTTGTAGAACGTGACACAAATATGACATTAAAATTTACGTTCTTACCTTTATCAGTGCTTAACAGTTTTCTTTTATTTTTACGCTTTACACGCTTTGAATTATTTTTTTCTTCACGATTCAATAATCCTTGTAATGGCATTATTGTAGCTATATTTATTCTTTTATCATTTTCAATATTGTGTAATACGTTAGATTTTGTTACACAAGGCACACATTGAACATATTCTTCATCAGACGTGGAATTATGTATATAACTGTTACTTTCTGCAAAACAGAGTGTAAATCATATCAATATTTTCAATAATAAGTACAAGAAAATTATAATAATCAAAGATAAAGATATTTTTTAATAAATTTAATTTATTCAAATTTTTTTATTTCAGTAAGTTTTCTATTTGTTATTTTATTACTATTACTTCATGAACGTTTAATTTGGACATGTTTTATTTGAAGGACATGTAGAATCTAATTTGAGTCAAGAAAAAACTTAAACAAACCTAATCTAATTTAAAGAAGCAATCTGATTGGTTTACATCTGTAACATTTAAATATTATGTATTCAATTATACCACTTTTACTATTCTTTTTTAAAAATTATTAATTATTGCTAGGTATACCTTTATGCAGTAATTCAGTCTTCAGAATATTTTCACATCTATCGGTAAACATACGTAAGAAATGTTCGAGGTTTAACCTATAAAAAGTAAAAAGTACAAGATTGTTAGGTTTACAATTACAATAGTACATAATGAAATATTAAAGAGCAATACAAAAATTTGTAAAAATTTGCATTAGAAATACAGAATGTCACAAATATGAAAATAAACATAAATATTTATATCAAAACTGTTTCCTGAAAAATATTTGAGACAAAAATTATTTTGTTTGAAACAGGGTAAATAGAACATTAATATTAAAAGATAAAAGTGATGGGTAAGTATAAGAGACAGATGACTGAAGACTGATGATAATCGTAATAATTATGGGAGTAATTGTGTTACTATTATGCAGAAAAAACAGTATTTGCTTTTTGAACAAAGATTGCATGCTCTTATTTACTGTTGTTTTTAATTTGCAACTTTTAAATATATCCGAACAAATATTTCAGAAACTGAAAGTAAATATTCACTAAACTGCCTTTAATATACAGGGTGTCCCAATTTAATGTCCCACCCCAAATAACTTTTTATCTTTGGTCGTTTCAAACAAAAGTTGTTTGGTTTCGAGGGGAACATAAGACGGTATCATTTATGTGACCTTGAATAGTTGTTTGAAGGTCACGTGAAGGTCACCTTCAATTTTTTTAATGGAACCCTCAATTGTTTATTATAGTATCTTATTCTACTAATTAATATGAACAACTTTTGTTTAAAACATTTTTTTAGTTGTATAATACTTTTTGAGATATTCAAGAGAAAATTTATAACTTTTTCCATGTTTAGCTTATGATATTTCGATAACTGTTTTTCGGAGGGAAAAGTAGTACAGGACTTTTTTTTACTTGATTTGTTCTCAGGAATATGCTGTTGCAATGGTGCTCTAATTATTGAAAATTTTTGTGTATATAAATTTT